TAAAATTAGACAATGCAATATGCATATATCTGCTACTCCAAATTCTGGCCAAAAGTCATCAGTGCTGATGTGCCAGCCTCGATTCTCCCCAGGTACAAAATTCCCAGGAATAGAACCAGCCCAAATATTACTGCAGAGGAGCACTGGACTGCAAACACTAACACTCCTTTGCCTTTCTTCAGGGAAATCCCATCCCATTACAGCCTCAGAAAGGAAAATTCCACAAACAGTTTTATTTATCAAAGGCTTACAGTAATAAATCCTTACTGCAGTTGTTTATAAGCAACAACTGCTGCTTTTAAAATGTCACTTTGTTTGAAAATTCCACACAACTGCCTATAAATGGTATTTGTGTAATTAAGGTTTGAGTTTATGATCATCTGAATCTTGCCTTTCCCACCTTTTTTTTTATTAAGGTCTTCTAGGCCATAGAAACCAACTGACTTCCCACAAAAAATCTATAAACACCCATTTTCTATGCTACAATCAGTTAGAGGGGAGCAAACAACCCCATTTTGTCAGGAGAAGCACGGGATGCAAATTTGTGCTGACATTATCCTGACAATCAGAAGGCAAACACTAACAATTCTCACCTAATGCCATTTGTTTTAGCACTAAACCACCACCAGTTTTTACATAAATGTGGACAGGTGGGTGTGAACCTTACAGACCATCCTGTCCTGTGGTCACAGCCTCTTCATGAGAGCTGTGTCAGTCAGAAAGGGATTGATCCAATCCCCAAATCACACCCTGGGCGTTCAGAAAAAAGTCACCAAAATATACAGCAAGTTACACAATCAGCTAACACAAACACTTCAACCCTTGTTCACAAGCCAAAATAAGGTTTGGTTCTAAAAATTAGCTACATAAAAACCCCTTTTGTTTATAAAACATAAAGCAATGTAGCACCAATATAGCAAGGACATTCACTTGGCTTCTCTAAAATCTGCCACTGGGATATCAGCAGAGTTATCAAACTCATGTATTAAAAACTGGCAGGAAAATTGACACTTCTAATAACACTCATAACATTATATTGTCATCAATTTTTTTTTTTTTAATTTAGGATCAGAAAACACAAAATCTTCAACTTAAATTGAAAGAAGCAGATTTGCATTGCCACTACCACACAAGAACTCTACACTGGTCACAATGGTGCAAATGTTCCCCATTGCATCATCAACTGCTACTAAGTCGGTTATTTGTAACATTTCTTCTATGAAATGAGCAGCTACACATCACTGAGTGAATATGCCCATGGCCCTCAGAAATGTGTGACAGATGTAATGTCCATTGACCACATGTAATGTATTAAAACTTTTCCTCTATCTGATATTTCTATATATTGCTACCATAAAGAAACCTCTTTGCATTTCATTACTTTTGCATCTAGAAATTATTAAGTAGGATAGTCTGCACAGTCACCACATCTGTTATTTCTATAAGATGCAGAAAGAGAGGGGGAAAAGTCCAAATTAAGGTTGTTCAGGATACTGAAGTACAAACTACATATATGTATCTTTGAAGTTTTAAACTTACCTTTGTAATTGTGGAGAATAAAAACATCCTGTGGAAAACATTGACAGCAGTTTAGGTCTAATCCAGAGTTTACTTAAGACAAATGATGCTGAAGACACTTGTGTGACTTGTATGGCAATTACAAAGGTAAGTTTAAGGGGAAAAAGGGGGGAGTTGGTAATTGCAGGGTGTCCTGGGCTGGCAGAGGCAGTGCAGGGTGAGAACTCCCCTTTCCCTCACTGATGTTCCCCATCCATCAGACCAGAGCCCAAATATCAGCTCTTTTATTGCAGTTGATTTTTTACCCAGAAAAGCCATGTCATACTTAATTTTTACAATAGCCTCAATGAAAAAGAATAATTAGGTTTTCTTTTATAGGGGTAATATTTTTTAACTTCTAAAGAATGTTCTGTATGTAGACTGCTGGAGAAAAATCTATTTCAACCAATTACAGATCACAGAATGTGCCCCCCTCAAAACTACCTGTTCTAAGAATATGAATAAATGTGGCTGAAACACAGGTTCTAATCAATTTCCAGATTATAAAACACTTTTTTTTCAATTTCCTATATATACTCAAACAAAAGACAAATACCAGTATTTCTAAATCCAACAACAAAGCAAACCAAAGACACAAAAAATCCACAGAGTTGGCAATCTCACCATGTTTTTTATGTAAATTATTTAAATAATATTTTTCTTCTCACAGGGAGTCCTCTTCAGCTCTTCACATGACCAGTAATAAAAGTTTATGAATATGGCACAAAAGATCTGTTACTGTCTTCAGACAAGACTGTTGTCATTACCCAAATGAGCAGATTAATGACTTAGTCATGATTTTAGCATTTTCCTCTTTCACAGTAATGAGAAATAACTTGTAAACATTAAAATTTAAAAACAAATTAGTTGTCAAAAGTGTATCACAAAGACTAACATGAACATTGCTGATCCAAATAACAAGGAGTGAGCCAAATACGAATCCCCCCTCCAGGGATTTGTTCTATTGCACTACCAGGCAATTAACCTGACTTTCATTTAGTGTTGATATGATCAAATAAATAGATTTGTTAATGCATTTTTAAAATACACAAGTCAATGTCTTCCTTGGGAGGTTGATAATGGGCTGCACTGATCATCTCATATCATCTATCAGTTTGAAAGCAACTTATCATTTGTGAGTGCTTACTATTATATATGGAATGAAATGCCAAAAGCTACATAAAAAACATGTTTAAAATTAAAACCAAGCCTTGATTGTTGGATATAGAAATGTGTTCCTGCACTCCCCTGAATAACATTCTCCCAGCCTATTATTCCCAAATTTAAAATTAAATAGCGATTTCTTAGACAAATTTTATTTATCTTGTTCCTAGTCAGGTTATTTCTTGTGTGCTTATGAATTTTTTTTTCAATATTAATCTAGTGTTTTGCAAAGAAAAATTGCACAAAAATAAATTGCAAGATTTAGGCCTAACTTCTGGTCTCCAAAGGTAAGAAATGACAGCCCTCTGCTGGCTAACAAATATGTACCCACAAGAAGGACATCTCACAACAGCTTTACATTGATACAACATTTACCCAAGTAAAAATATATAAAAGTATATAGAGTAAAAAAAACTTGTAATACAGGGATGCCTGAAATATTTTATCTGGACCATTAGGAAACATTCTGTCTACTTCCTGTAGAAAACAGTAGGGCAAGGAAATGGCTGAATACTGAATTATATGGACAATTCTGAAGAATACTGAAATTCCTCAAAGAAGTAACCTTAGTGGGCTTCAGTTTTCCATACAGCATTCAAAACCAGCAATAAATGTTAATGCAATCATTGTGTTACTGTGTCTTTGTTTTAGTCAATTAAATGACCCGCAGTCCACAAAAATGAAAAGTTGTCCAAAAAAAATACTGATTTTCTGACATTTTTATGGTCTTAAATGCATTTTAAAAGCAAATATCAGAGAGCTTATTGGCAGCCAGATAAAAATGAGAATCACAGCATGGTATTTGCCACAACAGTTAGCATTGTGATCCAACTTGCAAAGAAAAAATTGTTTAGGTCTCAGCATAAAATTTCATAAACATGAAACATGCATGAGAAAAATCAATACTAGTCCCTATATTTTATTCATTTTTGCCTGTTTTTAAAGACTTGTTTTCTACTTTGCCCTGAGGACCTGTACTGCATTTTAAAATAGAAAGACATACATTGTAAATAATCTGCACTTTTCCTACATTAATTTAAAATGTTCTTTAGCATAATTCTGACTGTGTGGAAAATTTACAAATCATGTTTTGCAAAGTGCCTCTTCATTAACTGTGCTGACTGGAACCGGTGTGCAGTAAAGGAACACATTGGCAGATTGTGCTTCATTTTCCCTCATTAGATAAACACAGAAACCCAAAGGAACCCCCACTGCAGCTGCCCACAGGTGACAGCGTGAAACAAAGAACTGAAAGTGTTTATTTGAATATATTTGACCGTTGACTCAACGCCTGATAACGGCATTTTACCCAAAGAAGGGATTATTGACAGAGATAACTGGAATCAGTGCCCAGAGTGAAGAGGAGGGATGGGAACATTTCGCGCAGGTTCCAGGACGGAAGGAGCCCCCCAGCCCTGCACACGCAGGCGGCAGCTTCTCCTTCCCTTTCCAGAGAGGGATCGTGACCCATCCCTGGGGGCTCGGAGCGGCCTGGGCCGCGGGGAGCTGTCCGTGCCACGGCAGGGCGTGGAACGGGGAGACGTGAGGGTCCTTTCCATCCCAAACCCTTCTGTGATCTCTGTGATGATGCTCGGCTGAATTGCAGGGGAAGTCTGAGAAGTGCCCTGCATTTCCAGCTGTTTCTGAAAGCAGCTCTGAGGAGCGCCTTCACCCTCTGCGCACAAACCGCATTGTGCGCACTGACAGGGGCGGGCACCGCGGAAACTTGTGAGAGGAATGCTCAGGAGAGTTTGGGTTTGGTGCTTTAAAAATGCAACTACCTAGGAAAGAATAATGGAATCACAGAATATTCTGAGTAGGAAGGACCCATAAGAACCATCGATCCTGATCCTGCACAGGACACTCTAACAATCCCGCCCTGTGCCTGAGAGCGGTGTCCAAACGCTCCTGAAGCACTGTCAGCTTTGGGGCCGTGCCCACTGCCCTGGGGGGCCTGTTCAGTGCCCACCCTATGGATGAAAAACCTTTTCCTCGTATCTAACCCAAACACAAAATTATTGTAGAGGGCCGGCTACCTCGCATTTCCACTCGGCACGCACTCCCTGCACGGAGAGAAGCGGAGGCTCATCTGGCCGCAGTGGGAGCCCGTGTGTGGGGTCCCGTCCCCGCCCGCGGTGGGATCCGTGAGGGGACGAACATTTCCCTGAGGGACCCCCCTGTCCTCGCGCCCCGGGAACCCGCCCGCCGGAGGACCGCGCGCGTGCCCGCCAGGGGGCGCTGTCGGGGAGCGCGCGCGCGTGCGCGGGAGCGGTGCCGCGATGGCGGCGCTGCTGGAGCACGAGAGCCAGATCTTCCTGGAGCTCTTCCACCGCGACGGGCTCGTCGTGTGCGCCCGCGGGCTCGGCATCGACCGCCTGCTGCTGCGCTTCCTGCGCCTCTACTGCGAGCCCGCCAGCCTCGTGCTCGTGCTCAACACCAGCCCCGCCGAGGAGGTGAGGGCAGCTGCCAGCGCCCGCCCCTTCCCCTCCCGGCTGCGGCGGGCGCGTCCCGGGGTTGGCCGGCGGCTCTGTGGCTGCCCCGGCCGGCAGAGCGGCTCCCCGGTCTGGCGGGAGGGTGTGCGGGCTCCGGTGAGGGCAGCGCGGGGCGCGGGCCTGGCGCTGTGCACCGGCCCCGGCACAGAACCACGGAACGGTCAGGCTGGTAGGGAGCACAGTGGCTCCTCCGATCCCGCTTCCCTGCTCAGGCAGGGTCATTCAGGCCTGAGGTCACTCAGGCACACAGCACAGGATTGTGTCCAGATGGTTCTGGAATATCTCCAGAGAGGGAGACTCCACAGCTGTCTGGACAATCAGTCCCAGGGCTCGGGCACTCTCAGGGAAGAAGTTCTTCCTCGTGCTCAGGTGGAACTTCCCAGGCATCAGTTCCTGCCCGTTCCTCCTGTGCCACTGCTGGGCCAGGGAGCAGAGCCCGGTCCCTGCTCTGAGCCCTCCCTGCTCACACTGACAGGCACTGCTGAGGGCTCCTCTCAGCCATCTCCTCTGGAGGCTCAACAGCCCCAGCTCCTTCAGCCTTTCCTCACAAGAGAGAGGCTCCAGTCCCCTCCTTCTCTTTGTCACCCTCTGCTCCCGCAGCTCCGTGTCCCTTTTGTCCTGAGGTGCCCAGAACTGGACCCAGCACTCCAGATGTACCCCAGCAGGGCTGAGCAGAGGGGCAGGGTCACCTCCCCGACCTGCTGGCGATGCTCTTCCTGATGCACCCCAGGATCTTCCAGGAGTTCTTGGCCACAAGGCACTGCTGGCTCAGGGACAGCTTGTTGTCCACCCCCAGGTCCTGGGGAAGCTGACAAACCACACACATTCGGGATTGGGGCAGTTGGATTTCTACTTCTGCAGCACAATGAAGTCCTAGTAACACTAATGAGCTGATAGCACTAAAAGATGATTTCTTCCCAGTTCTCTGTTCTTAAGGCAGTATTAAAATTGCATTTTCTCTGAAAATGAGATATTGAAATATAAGAAAATGTAAGCTCCTTGAAGTGTCAGTTGCTCGTTTTTATGTAAGTATTGTCCAGTTACTATTGACTATGTAGATTTTTTTTAAATCACCTAGATGAGTTTGAAACTGAAGAAAGTATGTCAAAGAAAAAATCATAATAATTCTGACTTCTTCTAGTATGTTATACTATCATGTCTTAATCTGTTTTTGAGAGCTCCTCAAAATTACCAGAGTATAATAAAGGTATAAATTTACCAGAGTGAAATAAAGGTGCTTTATGGATCCCTTTCTCTGGATACCACAATAATGTCTTGTGTTTTTATTGTGTTTGGTTTAGGAGTATTTTATTGATCAGCTGAGGTCAGATGGAGTTGTTCATCTCCCTCGACGCGTTACCAATGAAATTGCAAATAATACTCGATATGAATTTTATACACAAGGAGGAGTCATCTTTGCAACCAGTCGGATCCTTGTGGTCGATTTCCTTACTGACAGAATTCCTGCCAATCTCATTACTGGTAAGAGCATAATGAAATAAAGGTGAGAGTGTTCTGTTTGAAAATACACAAAGCTTAAAAAAAAACTCTATATGAAGAATTCTACTAACAGAATACTAACTACTATTGAGGTTGAAGAATTAGTCCTTCCCCCCCCACCAAGACTGAGGTGAAAGGAGCAAATATGTAGTTCTTTTGTTCCTTTTTTTTTTTCCTTTCAACTCATTAGCTTTATTTAATCATACACTTTAGAAAGGCTTTCAAAGAAGAATGATTGCACTTGGTGAAATCATGTCCTATAATGTCCTGGGATCTATTGGACACTGGCCTGTCATTAAAACAGATTTTAGATGTCACACTTTATGAGCCATGCACACTACCTATATTTTTGAATTAACAAATTACTCCTGATGACTTCTCATAAAAAAATACCTTTGTATTGACTTGGGTACTATGCACATAGCAATATTTCCAAGTAATGCTGTTACTGTAATTGTAAAGATTTGGAGAATAGCTTGCAACCTTTTTTTGTAGTTATATAGAAGCTATACATGGAAGATGTGAGAGCTACCCTTCTCTGTTCCCCTTCCCCTCAGCCACTCTTGTTTTTATGTTCCTGTCTAACGTGGAAACCCTGTTATAGCCTGGAGAGCTGGAAAAAGAGAGCTCTAAGAGCCAGGGATTTAAGAATATTTTACTATTTTCTAAGTGTTAACATCTTAATGATTAAATATAGCTGAATATTGTATGCTTGGAAGAATGTGAGTTTCTGCTTCAGAAGCTGTACCTCCTTCCTTTCAGTCAAGCTACAGCAAGTTCTACTGTAAAACCTTTTGAACACTTTTAGGCTGGAGTCAACACCAGATTTCTAAATTCAAAAGAAGTGAATAGGTTTTCTGGGCAACCTGTGGTAATTTCTCTTTTTCCCTTGACTCCTTTCTCTTTACCTTTCTACCCTACCAAAGAAGAAGAAAAAAAAAAAAAAAAGAAGAAATACTGTAAAGTTTTAAAACTGGTGCTGTCCTTTATTGCCACAGAGCTGTGACAGGTTTTGCATTGCCACCAGAGGTCGGTATGAGAGCAGCTGCAATCGAGTAGTGGCTTCATTCTCAGCCTCCCAACACCTGGGTCTGTGTGCCTTGTCTGTGTGTGAGATTGTACAGCAAAATCTTGTAGTTGTGTTTCATGAGGAGATAGCAGCAAAAGCCTTTCTAGGTGTTAAAAATGTCATTTGTAAAATCAGCGTGAAATAACATCTGAGGAACTCATAAATCCAGCTAAATGAAGGTAAGAAATTATCATTGCAGTAAAGCAGAAATATTCCTGGTGGTTTTAGCTGAGTAGAAATTATGTGCTTGACAGCACAGTGAAACTGATGCAAGTTGGTGTAGTAAAAAGTGGCAAGTTGTTTCTACCAAGGCTTACAGAGCAGGTGTGAACTCCCCTCCTAAGCAGGAAGGTATTACAATAAACACAGTCTTACTGACCTGTTAGAAATTCTGTCTTTCCTGTCCTGTCCATCTGGGGTCACATCTTGAAAAATTTGGAAGGTGTTCAGAGATGATCATTATTATGTACAGGAAAATTTGCTTCATAGGACAGGTCTAACAATATCTAGATAGAAAAAGACCTTGTAGTGGATTATTTCAGGACTTAATTATGAAAGATGAGCAGTTATATGGAAGTCTATTTTCTGGATGCTTTTTCATTTAGCAAGCAAAGGCATATTAAAACCACTGGCTGCGTGCTGACTTGGGGAGACTTGTTACAGAAATTAAATGCTCTGTAAGTTTATTAGCTTCTGTAGGCACAAGATAAAACCTGTGGTGTTTGATGTCCTTTGCTTCCATTTTAGAAAGGCATTTATGATTCCCCGGGAAGCTGTGAACAGATACCACATGGGCCTGAATTCAGGAGGGGGAGAAGGAAAATAATGCAATGTTGTGTTTAACATGATTAGCATGAGGAAAAAACAAGCCTTGGTTTAGCAGGTCTTGGCTGAGTGAACTCTGAACTCCAGAAATGTTTGCCTCAACCACATAATTAAATTAAACTCTTGTTTCATTTCTCTTTATTGAAATGTGCTTGATAAGTCTTTTATTCCTACTGCACCCATAGCCATGAAGAAAACTGGTGGGGTACTCATATATTTGTTAATACTTGCTGTCCTTGAGTGTGAATATGGGAGAGAAAAGCAAAATAAATGTTTTCAGAAGTTCTTTGATTATGTAAACACTTGAACTGTTACCAGTTCAAGTAACAGTTGAAAAAGTTACTTAACATGTCTGTAATTCCAGAATTTCTCTAAACAAAAGAATTCAACTATCACAGCCTTGAACACATCAAACTTGCTTTGTTGTAACAATGTGTTATGTCATGCATCTGCTTTTCCTTCTTTTAAAAGACTCAAGTTCAAGTTATGCCTCAGGAGTAGAGAATTTTCCTAGCTAGTAAATCCTGCCACTCATTCACAAGCTTTTTTTTTTTCCTGTTAAAGATGCATTATTAACCCAGTTCTGTTATTTGGCAATTCCATGGTACTGAAACTGAGCAGTCACTTGTTTCAACCCCAGAAAGTTTGTTCAACCTTCATTTTAGATGACTTAAATTCCTGTATTTAAACAACAGTAGAAGAATAAGACAGTTGTGAGGAAAATCTTTACAAACCTGGACCTTTCTGTATTTTTTTTTTTTTAATGTGATTATTTTTTTTCTCTTGCCAGGTATTTTGGTGTACAAAGCACACAGAATCATTGAGTCCTGTCAGGAGGCGTTCATCTTGCGACTTTATCGCCAGAAGAACAAGCAAGGCTTCATCAAAGCTTTTACAGATAATGCAGTTGCATTTAACACTGGCTTTTGTCATGTGGAAAGAGTGATGAAGAATCTTTTTGTTGGGAAGCTTTATCTGTGGCCAAGGTGAGGCAGGTCTTTACTTCACTGGAGAGTTAAACTTAGAGGAAAGATGAAGGATGTTACAGTGGCTTCCCAAGGAAATGAGGTGTATGCAGTCACACTGCTAATCTGTGTTCCCTCCTCTATTCCCAAACAAAATTTTTTCAGATTTTGACAGAAGTAGTTTTAAAGATGCTGAATTTCTGAGAGTATTTTTGAAAATGGACTCCAATTGACTGTATTAAAGGAATGAACCTTATGGCAGAGCTCTCCTGTTAGTCAACAGAAATCACAGCAAAAAGTGACATTCTTTACAGTTTAAGAAAAACTTCTCTTACTAAACAAGAGTACCTAAGCCATGAAATTACAGCAGACCAGTCTCTCAGTTCTGCTATTCATGGACACGTTTGTTTCCAGCTGTTCTGAAACTCCATGCATCTCTTTCTACATGTCAGATTATTTCAATCTTCTTACACACCTGTGCTGTGTATGAAGAACATTTTTTGGTGACTGTTAAAAAACTAATTGCCAAAATGCAGCATGCACGGAGTCTTCCAGGAGCAGATCCACAAAAGGAGCTGAACACTCTGATGACTCAGTCAGTGCTTTTGCCCTGGGCAGGAGCTCTGCCCATTTGTTCCATTGGTCCGGGCTGGAATGTGTTTCCCTCCTTCTTAAGGAATGGCTCCTCTGCATTGTAAATTCCTTAACAGTCTTTCAGTATCCCAGGGAAGTAGCAGTGGACATACCTGGGCTAGGAAAGGTTGAGTAGAAGCTCTCTAGATTTCCTTCCTTGACTTCCATGAAAAGACCTGGGGCTGCAGGCTGCAGTAAGGGAAAGGTCCATGGAGTTGTAGAGGTCAGCAGCCATGGGGTTCTCTGAGCCTCCTCCTGTCAGGAACAGTCAGGTGGCATCCCTGGATCTGTGCTGCTGGAGTGGCTCCAAGGACAGGCTTCCAACAAGGACCTGCAGGTTGGCATTGCAATGAACCTCTTCCAGTTTCTCCCTTATATGATTTTTTGGGGCTAATTTTAATATTTGTTATGTGATGATGATGCAGAATCCAGTGCAGTAATTTTCCATGGATCATTCACCAGCACTGTAGGCTCACATGACTAGAATGACTACAGTCATAATTGTGGAACAGATGGTTTTCCAGGGCTGTTCATAAGATTGCAGTCTTCACATCAGTAGAAAATTACTTTGGAATTAACTTAGTTGTTTACATTTTAAATAATTGTAATTGTAGTTTGTACAAACTTTTGAATAATTCTAAGTCAAAACTATCCATGTGAATCTTAAGAAGCTGTTTTTCTCCTAGATTTCATATAGCAGTGCACTCGTTTTTAGAGAAGCATAAACCTGAAGTGGTGGAAATTCACGTGGCAATGACCCCTGCTATGCTTGCTATCCAGACTGCAATCCTGGACATTCTGAATGCATGTCTGAAGGAACTGAAACGTTACAACCCAGCTCTTGAAGTAGAAGATCTATCTTTAGAGAATGCTATTGCTAAACCTTTTGACAAGGTAACAATTTTGATTGTTCTGCAGTGTCTAAGTAACAGGATATAGATCTCCAAAGTGCCTGCCATGCAGACAGAAATGTTATTTGCAAAATAAATAACCAGCAGCAGCTGAGTGTTCTCCCATGACATGTTTATTACTGGTACAAGGGGATGTAATGGTGATGTGACAGTTGCCAGTAGGGTTTTTGATGTATTGGTGTTATTGTTCTTCCTTCATTTCCAAAGTCCCAAGAGTAAGAACACCTCAATTCATAGTTATAATGATAATTGTTGCTGCTGTTATTAAAAAGACAGCTGCAACTTCAGCTCAGAATACTTTGGAGAGAAGTATCAGTAATTGCCATACACGTACTCTCCCTTTTTCCTTTTGAATTTCTTGCTTGTGTTTTTTATTCTCTCTAGTAGAAGAAGCACTGTATGTACTAGACAATATGCACATGCATGCATCTGCTGTATCTTTAATCATTATGTATGTCAATAACTTTGGGTTCACTGTTATTTTTGACAGATCTGCAATGTGTGGCACACATATGCTTTTGTTAGGGTGAAATCAACTGTCATAGTGCAACACAGTTATTGGTTAACTGATTTAATCTGTATGGAAGGCCTTCTGTACTTTTAAATATTTGAAGGTTCTTTCTTGGGGTCTATAAGTTGCACATCTTCACGGTACCTATCTTGATTTTGGAAACTAAATGACATTATAATGGTTTTTTCTGTACCTAAGTAAAGGACACTAGATACTAAATACAACAGGCCAGTACCAGTAAAACAAGGGTGTTTTTTTATAATTTCACCAATATTTTATTATTAGATGGTGAGGAAAAAATGTATTGAAAGCATTAAATTGTATGTGTCTGCTAATTGCTGAAATGTGTTTCATAAAGACATCTATATTATGTTAACTTTGTTTTGATATAAGTTACCATATTTTAGCAAACATCTCACCAGTACATATTTATTTTGGTATCTGCAATAACTTTGGGAAACCAGAGCCTGTAAAGTTAAAGTGGATTCTCAGCTTGTTAGAAGCTATAATGCAGTGCTGTATGTTTGACACTCCAAACTTTCCAATTTTAATTTCCAGACAATCCGCCACTATTTAGATCCTCTCTGGCATCAGCTTGGAGCTAAGACAAAGTCTTTGGTGCAGGATTTGAAGATCCTCCGTACTTTGCTACTGTATCTAACCCAGTATGATTGTGTGACTTTCCTTAATCTCCTGGAGTCACTGAAAGCAAGTGAAAAAGCTTTTGGTGAGAATTCAGGTAAACATGGAATAACCATACAAGTTAATGCATGAAACGGTGCAATGTTGATGTTTTTAATTATCATTCCCAAACATATGAAAGTATCTAATTAGGTTTTACACAACCAGCCATAAGGACGTAGGTTTTTATTGACAGATAATTCTTTCATCTTCCCACTTAACTGCTGTTACTTAACAGAGTGAGATTTGCATCACATTTTTGTCTTTTATTAAGCTGGTGATTACACAGCAAGCAGGTAGGGCAGGTATTCCAGCTGAAGATCTGGATCTTTTATTGCAGAGGGTTGGAACACATGCACATTGCAGATGTCAAACTACTTACTACTGCTTCCTTCTCATTTCCTCTGCAGGCTGGCTGTTCCTGGACTCCAGTACTTCAATGTTTGTGAATGCTCGAGCTCGAGTTTATCGCATTGCAGATGAGAAACTGAATCAGAAAGGCAAAGGCTCAGGCTCTGAAAAACGTGATGTAAAGAAGGAAAATGGTACTGATCATTCCTAATTTTAAGTTTAAGAGTGTCACACGATTCCAAGTGCTTTGCATATTATTACTTGTACTCTGGTTCCCTGCATGAACTTCCACAGCTCAGGATCTCAGTCTGTTAGCTGGGATAAATTGAGATACAATTTAAGTTCCCAAAGCATATGATAAACAACGTAAAAGAGTCACAGAGTAGGGATTCTCCTAAGCTTGCTCAGCTGATCACTGGAAGAGCTTTTGTGAAATTGTTCTTGCATTACATTGATGTTTAGCTTCATCTTTATTATCTTATGTGAAAGAGTAGGAGGCTGTGGTTGCTTTTATTAAAAAAATATATTCAGGAGTTTCAGAATTGAAGAATGAGTGAATACTTCACTGTTTTGCTTCACAAAAGCATTTATCTCCATTTTTAAATTTAAGAGTGTTCTCCACCTCATTAGCATAACAAGTTGCATATGTAGGCTGTTGAATATCATATGTGCCAACAACCATCATACTAATGACATCTAACCACTGATTTAAAGTCTGAAGGATATTTTGCCTGCAAGAGCTGCTATGTTCAATCTTACTTTGTTTCAGAACTGAAAAGGGAATTGGTTCTAGAAAGTAACCCAAAATGGGAAGCTCTGAGAGAAGTACTGAAAGAGATTGAAAATGAGAATAAGAACAGTGACAACCTTGGCGGTCCAGGTGAGAGAATACTAAATTATGCAAGTTTTCCTGGAATTCTACTGGTTTGTACTTCTGCTTGACCTTGGAGAGAAGGAACTAACCCTTTTCTGTAGTTTTATCAAAGAGCTGGTTTAAATTTAGTAATTTGTGGCCTCAAGAAGAGGAATTTTTGTACATTATGTACATAAACTATGTAAAATTAAACTCTTAGTAGGTCTTGCTCTAAAAGAGAAATGCTGTTCCTACAATGCAATACTTTTTAGGAAAGAACCTTCATTATTCTGAAAAAACATTTTAGGTTACATTTCAGTAATCTACTGATACCTTAGTTCCAAGCCAAATAAAACAGACATGGAGATTTATAATGGTCAAAGCACCATTCACTCATTTCTGAAGTTTGGGTTCAAAACAAAAGTAGGGGTTCTGTCTTACACCCTTTCTAACTTGCACATTCTTCTCATGCACCTGAAAATTTGCTTTGCATGGGTTGCATATAAATGAGGTAGAGATTAGGAGGCAAGGAAGAGAGTCTAACTGCTTTGCTGCCTTTCCTATTTTAGGGCTTTTCATTCCCTTAAAATTTAGCAAGTTTTATTTTAGGAAATAGTAAGGGTAAAAAAGTGCTCTTTTCTCCCACCCACAGTGTTCTGACTCTGGGTAAGAACTGGCTCTCTCTCCCAGTGTTGTAGGAGTTTATCTGAGTCAGCTTGCAGAGAATTGTTATTCACCAATGTCAATAATACTGTGTGAAACATGTGTTTTGTAGACTCTCTAACACAGCTGACAAATTAGAATGGTCTGAATTAAGTTCTCTCTTATTCCACATCTTAAAAATGAGTAGTTGTTTGAGTATGTTTCAACACGCACTGGATCTGCCTCATTTCCAATGGTCAGATGGAAAACTTTATGAATTTAGATATTGTAAGAAAAAGGAATGTTGAACTTCCATTAATCTACTCTAATTTTTTTTGGTACAAAAAGCCATGCAATTTAGATTCTCTCAAAGTCCAGAGCAGCTGTGGCAGCCGAATGTGAAGGCATTTGGCAGGCACAGGGCTTGGATCAGTGCAAGCCATTGGCTGGGGAGGTGCTTTAGCTGGATAAGAAGCACAGCATTACAGGCTGTAAACATGGGATTCTTTCTTGACTGCAGGGCAAGTGCTCATCTGTGCCAGTGATGACCGAGCCTGTGCACAGCTCAGGGAGTGTATTATTACTGGAGCAGAAGCTTTCTTAACAAGACTTTATAACAAAACCTTCGGAAAGGATGAGAAAGCTGCAGAAGTGTGGGTTAAGGACAGAAAAGCCATGAAGTCCAAAGGAAATGCCAAAGCAGACACAGGGCCTCAAGCCAAAAAAGCCAAACTGACAGCTTCTTCAAAACAAAATAAACAGAAGAAGCAGCAAGACCGGACTCTAATCCAAATGATAGGGAAAACTGAGGAGGAAAAGAGAGAGGAGGTGGAGGTGGAAGACAACAAAGAATTAAGTAGTAGTCAAGAAGGCAACATTGAAGAGACCATTGCTGAAGATTTTGATTTCAGCTTGCCCTCAGATTGTTACTATGGGATTTTCAAGGACCCACTGACAATTATCCACCCGCTGCAGGGCTGTGGGGATCCCTACGCGCTCACTCGGGTGCTGCACGAAGTGGAACCCAGATATGTTGTGCTGTACGATGCAGAACTCACTTTTGTTCGGCAGCTGGAAATCTACAAGGCAAGCAGGCCTGGGAAGCCTTTGAGGCAAGTTGACTTGGCCAGGGTAATTGTAGTATGAAAAGAAAAAATTGGAAGTGCACTGTCAGCAGTCAGTGCAGAACATGCTGCTGTTCATTTTCATTAGCTACCTTCCAGTTCCTGTTGAGCACTTCAGTTTAAACAAAAGCAGAATGTCTGGTGTAACCAAAAGATAATTTTTACTTTCCAGCAGGTATTTAGTCCCTTAACGGCAGAAACATATCTGTTAAAAAAAGAAACAATTCCAAGATCTCTGCTTCAATGATTTTAGTGGCAGTAGATCATTTTCAGGTGGAGTAGTCTCATTTTAAACCATCTCTGAAGATATGATTTTTAAAGAAAAGGATTCATTTTGGGTTTAATTAATTTTCACATTTCCTGATGTTCATCATGCTGAAGACCAGTAATTCAGAAACTGTAACAGAGAAGCAAGTAAAGGAAACACAATAAAGAAAATTAGTATTTGCAGTTATAGCAACTGACAGAAAGATCACCACATTGGGTATGTGTATTTAATACACCTGGAAATTGCAAAACTCAGTTTTATGAATAAATGTCACATACTGATTAAAAACATAGAAAACTTAAAATTTAATATGCTATTAACTAGTCAGGCATTTACTGCTACTAACCTTAAATTTACTGGTTGTGAATTTTTTTAACTTAATACAAAGTTTTGTGACCTCTTTTGTTTTTCTCTTTTATACCTACAGAGTTTATTTCCTCATATATGGGGGCTCCACGGAAGAGCAGCGCTACCTCACAGCTCTGAGGAAGGAGAAGGAGGCCTTCGAAAAACTCATTCGGTAACGCAGTGTAACTGCCTTTAGAATTAGTGTTTCATGTAATTCCCCTGTATAATGTAATATGCTGGCATTTTAAATAGAGTGAAGTTCTTAACTGTGTGAAGGCTTTAAATAAACTTTTAATTCAATTCTTTGTCAGATGTAAAGACTACTTTCTTATTGAGAGTCACCAAAAAGTCAAAACTTTCCTTTTCAAAGCACCTGCTATTTTGTTTATTAATTTTAGCAGGATTTAATATTAACATAAAGGCTAATCAGTATCACTTGAATTTGGTCCTAATTGTCTATGAAGTTCATTTGTGTAATTGTGTTTTTGCAGGTAACATTTCTTGTAAGATAGTTCCTAAAGCTCTTATAACCTAAGTCAGTTGGGGAAACAAAACATTTCCTCAGACTGCATAAGACAGTAATTTTACTGACAGTGCATTCTCAGCAGGTTTCAGTGCTTTTACTAGCCATTAGTTCCTTTGTAAAAGGAAAAAACTAAAAAAACTGAGAAAATTGCATTTCTGATCGGGCTTGCATTTAGTATTAAATTATATATAATTTTACATCTGGATGAAGGGTATTGAAATATTTCAATCTTCTTTACTCCTGTATTTGCAGTTTTTAGTGTGTGTGTGTTTGTGGTTCCTTAGAGAGAAGGCCAGCATGGTTGTTCCTGAAGAAAGAGAAGGAAGAGATGAAACAAACTTAGACCTCCTCAGAGATGCCAGACCTGCCTCTGCCTCTGCTGACACACGCAAAGCAGGTGAGCAGCTCCTAGGTCAGCCCTGCAGCCCAGAGCTTTCCAAAAGTCCCTGAACTATTGCACCTTAAATCTCCCTCAAAGTGCCTGGGGCAGAGACACGTTGTACATTGGCTTCATGCTAAAGAAACATTATTTCCCAGTGACAATGAACTGGGGGTTCCTTTGAAAGTACAGGTTAATGAAGTATTTGACCATTAAGATGGATACCATTTGGATTGCTCCTTGTCCATTCTTGGTTAGGAGGCTGCCTAGTGCTGCTTGTAGGAAGATAAATTAAAACATAGAAACTGAAGTCTACAGATGGTCAAAGGCAGTGTTGTCCTTGAGCTAGTAAATGATGGGGATTTCTTTTCATCTTGACAAAACATGCTGCCTGGGTAAACAACTGCACATTATGGGTGTGATCGCTTTCTTTGTAGTCCTTTTTCTTTTGTTGCAATTCTAGCCATATTTTTGTTCTTTTCCTCTGAGAGTATGCTATGCCTCTGCCTGTTTTTCTTTACTGTTGTTTCTGTAATCCTGCTCTCCTTTGCCATATGCTCTCTAATCTTTGCTATTACATCTTTTGTGGCCTTGGTGCTGCAGTCTTTTTATGTGTCCTGCAGATCTGTAGAGCGCAGCACGTAATTCCCACAATAAAGTGCTGTATTTCTGTGGGAAACAGCTGGAAATAAAAGGGATCAGCTTCATTATCTTGTTTTGCAGGCAGCCTTTTAAAGATTTCCCTGATTCATTTAAATAATTTTCATCTACAGTTTAATCTCCTTCATTGTCACCTATACAAGCTTTCAGCAAGTAGCATGGTAGTTCTACCAAGTTGCAGAGCACGCTCCATAAACTATAGTATATATTTAGGCAAGTAATTTTTTTCTCTAACAGTTAAAAATCAAATGAAGTCTTTATTTATTGTATTGCTGAATTTGAGGTATAACTTAAGATGAGAAGTCCATCCATTGCAGAAGCCTTGGCAAGACACAGGAAAACAAGCAGAGCAGGATGTACGGGGATAACTGTGTTCATTTTGCTCTTCAGGTGGACAGGAACAGAAGGGTGTCCAGCAAACCATAATCGTGGACATGCGGGAATTCCGTAGTGAGCTTCCATCGCTGATCCATCGCCGTGGGATCGACATCGAGCCCGTGACTTTGGAGGTTGGGGATTATATTCTAACCCCCGACATCTGCGTGGAGCGGAAGAGCATCAGCGATCTGATCGGCTCCCTGAACAACGGCAGGCTGTACGCGCAGTGCGTGGCCATGTGCCGCTACTACAAGCGGCCAGTTCTCCTCATTGAATTTGACCCCAACAAATCCTTCTCCTTGATCCCACGGGGCTCTTTACAGCCAGAAATTTCCAGCAATGATGTTACTTCTAAACTAACCCTTCTCACACTGCACTTCCCAAAGTTACGAATCCTGTGGTGTCCCTCTCCCCACGCTACTGCTGAAGTCTTTGAAGAGTTGAAACAAAACCATCCCCAACCCGACGCAGAAACGGCGATGGCCGTCACCGCAGACTCCGAAATTCTCCCCGAGTCAGACAAGTACAACCCTGGGCCTCAGGACTTCCTGCTGAAAATGCCAGGGGTTAATGCAAAGAACTGCCGTGCCTTAATGACCCACGTTAAAAGCATCGCAGAGCTGGTGATGCTGTCCAAGGATGAGCTAGCCAAGATTTTGGGTAATGCTGCCAATGCCACACAACTCTTCGACTTTATTCACCTGACCTATGCAGAGGCACTAGCCAAAGGAAAAAGCAAAAGATGACTCATGAGATTGTTCAACACGCAGCACAGATAAGCTTTTCTGGCACAGTACTTTGGCAAATACATGAAATATTTTAATAAATGCCCCCTCTAAGATAACCAGCTGTTCCTTGCTAATGCTATTCCATCAGTTTTAATATGTGAGTTAATTATTACTGAAGGCAAGTTTCAAGAGGAAAAAAAATATTTTTAATAGAGAAATGTGAATTATTTTTATTCTTTTTAAAGCATTTCAACCAATTCTATAATACCAGTGAATTAACTAAATTTCTAACTGAATTAACTAATTTTCACCAAGACCATAAGAATTAAGTGCTAAGACTAACTGATAAAGGTGTTTTCTTGTGAAAGTTATGATGTCTTGTTCAAGTTAAAAATGTGCTGTTTTGATTGGTCTGAGTGACCTGCTGCATGATACAACACTGCTTTTGCCATTTTTAATGTCTCACTCTCTGGCAACTGCCACTTTTTGATTGACAGTGATGAAGCTATTTGAAACACGTTGTGGTCTTTGCTCAGGAGTTTATTTAGACTATACTGGGACTGAATCCTGAATTTTAGAACCTGACCATAAGCCTTTGTCACAGTAAAATCCATTTGTATGCTATGCTCTACATTTTGCTTGCTTACTTCACTACCAGTTACACTTTTTACCATTCCAAAGCCAGTACAGCTCTGTCTTGCTAGATTTTACAAAGTGCTTTCCTTTGGTCTAACTGGGTAGAGATTCTGTGGTACCACAGTGCAACTTAATTTTGAGTGTGCCTTATTTATACTTTTAAGAGGCTTTGTTTTTTACTCAGTTTTGATAGCTCTTTCACTTGAAAGTGAAAACTCTGGGTACACAATTGGCACTGTTCCTTTATACCAAAGAATATTTCCTCTTGTATAATCCAGTCATTTTCTAAGCAAGGTTTTCCAAAAGTGTTGAAAGTTCTTCCAATATTGGCTTCTTTTGTGTCCTATTGCTCTTGTATTTTTATGTCCCAAATCAACTGTCTGTCAATAACCTCAGTAAAGCCATTGTCACCTAGAAGATAATACTTTTAGCATTTTGTGTAGCATAAAAGAGGGAAAAGTTTGTCAATATGTGCATTGTTAAATTATATATTCTACATTGAACTTTGATACAGCTGTGTACAAACTGCCATTGCCAAAAGGGTTGGTCCAGTGTTATTCCATGCTAATGTATTTACATTTGCTATTTACAAAACCTTTATCTATGACTTGCACATGTATTTATATGATTCTAATGGGAACAACAGATTACTATTATCTCCTTCATGAAAGGAGAAAATATTTTTTGTGTTCAGGTTTGGTAAAAACTGTACTGTGCACTTTCAGGTAAAATGTTTATTGTGCATTTTAAGTGTGAATTATGAATTGTTAACTTTAATCTGTGGTTAAGCTATGATAAATTTCCAAGGGAACATTTCTCTGCAGATGCAAATTTTAGTATTAAATACACCCATAATAAGATTAAAATTTGTTCATTATCTTGTTTTTCATTCGGCTGAATTGATATCAAGACATTTTTATTTTTAGTGTGTGGTTTACAATCCAGATCTTTGGGTTTCTATTGCCCTAGATTCTAATTTATTTAATATGAGAAGAAGTCTTTCTGTTTTGACTTTTGCTTATTCAAACTAATGTTGTGAGATGTGCAGAGGAGTACAAGTGTCCTGAGTGCATGATTCAGAAAAGGGCAGCTGGGCAAAGAACAGACATTGCTTGTGCAAGGGCCATTAGGGTGCTCCAGGAACTGTGGCTTTGGGGTTTTTCACAGATGCTGCCTCAGCTCTCTCAGTGAGGTTTGGAGTTTTTGCATTGATGTGTATGGGGTGAAAATGAAGGCTGTAGTAATGGGTGATAAAGCTGTAGCTTTGTGTTGTATGCTAGATCAAAGTTACATCATGCAATTAAATAATTATTTGCTAAATATTTTAATGAAATTGCCTCTTGCTTATATGTGTGGGATTTTCCTTTTTCCTTCTCTGTGCAGGATTTGCCCCTTTTCTCTAGAACAGCCACAAGTATATGTTGTTGCATGTCATTACTGCCCCTGTGCTTTGGCATTTCACCAGATGAGGTGTGCTGGGCAGTTAGAGCTGTGCCTCCTGGGGCAGGAGGTACAGACTGTGCCCCAAGGTGGGAGAGGTCCTGTGTCCTGAGACCACTTCTCCCTGAAATTATAGAGCCCAAGGTCTGCCTGAATGCAGTCACAGCACAGGCTTGGGTGAATGATGGAAACCCTCTCTTTGACCAACAGTCATGGAATTTGTACATCTTGTCATTGCTGATGTTCTAGACTTGTGCTTTTTTATTAAAAAAGCAAACACAAACACCCTTCAGTTTGGGAGTGTCTCAGCTTCTTGCTTGTCCCCAAACCAAGACCTCATGTTCCCAGGTCCCTCAGTAGGTGAAGCCCCTGGGAGGGGTTCACATGCTATAGAGTTGCCAAGTTGCTCCTTTCTGCAGCTTCTCCTGGGCTTTGATCACTGACAGTTCTTCTGGAATAACCACACAACCTTTTAGAAGCAAATGTAGCTTACATTAGCAAATCTATTTAGGACCCTTTTATGTGCTTCAAATTAAATCTGTAATACCTTGTTAACTTTGAGGTACCTTCTTGCATTGAAAATACACTTACCAATAGTATCTGCACCTTCTTAATTCACATGTCTTGATAAGGTTTTGCAAGGAAATACTCAAATGTTATGAGTTTCAGTGCCATTTTTTATTTTGAGTACAAAATATTAGGAAGTCATCTCCCAGACTCTTCAATACAAAGAGGCTGACCGTTTTTTAATTTGAGTTTTGATCTGTATTTTGAAAGCTTCTCCTCAATAAATTAAAGGGAAGAAATATCCTCTGTCACCGTCTTGAAAACAGGGAAGAACTGTTGGGTAGCTTGGCTGGCCAAGACTTAGCTGAGAGATGAATTCTTCCTGAAGTGTGTGAGGGTAACCAGGGCTGCTGCACTGCTATGGTGATTTGTTGTCTAAACAGAAGATGTTGCTGCAATATGTCAAAATGGGCCTGTGTATGTACTAATTTTAGCATCATTTTTTTTTAAGCATGATAAAATTACCTTAATCCACACCATCTGTAAAGCAGGCTTCCTAGGAATCTTTAATCAGGACTAAACAGATACCATTTTCTCAGCTTGCATTTTACCCTAGTTCTGTCTGTGAGAGCTTCCCTCTATAAATTAAAGCACAGTTTTCATTTCTAGGGTCCTCAGTTCCTCATTGTTACTTCTTTTTTCTTTCACCTTGATCATCTCCCATCAAAGAGCAGGAGCCTGGAATTATTAAACAGCTGACATTGTTTCCAAGCTGGCATTTTCAGTCAGCTGTGCAATCTTGTTCTTGCACTCTCAGCTTCTTCCTCAGCTCTCAGAATGGCACTTAGACCATTCTTATTTTATTGGTTTTTGTTTAGGAAAACACAGTGGCTATGTGGCAAAATTCTTGGAACTGACTTGCCTTTTTTAATGTAACCTTTCTCGTGTAAGTTCAGATCACAATCAATAGTCAAAGTAAAACCACATGTAAGTCTTCCTGTTTATGAGATGCTAAGGTTTTCCATGGGCTAGGCCTAGAGTTTCAGAAACTATTAAGCTGGGACTACTGATTAAGGGATTTCAGCCAGGAGCCAGAGAATATGTTTATCATTTTGAGGGTAGAATTTTCAGAATCACTACTAAACCTATCACATTTGTACAATAAATATATAAGGGTTTTATTTTAAAATCACTATTCATATCTTTAGCTTCACTTTAATAGTTCAGTGAATTCAAATTTCATCTACCTGAACTCAGAAAATTTGGAATTTTACATAATTAAATTAGCAAGAAGAGAAAAAAATTCCCACCTGTAAATTCAGTGTAATAGCTCTGGTTTCTGTCTCCTTAGTGACTATTACCTGTTGTCCACAGAAACATGCTAACCTCCAAATTTCAGCACATAAAAACCATCTCCCAAGTGATCCAAAGCCCAGGAGTTTTCCCAGTGAAACTGGCACAGGAAGCCTAAACTTGACAAGGCTGCATTTCAGCCCCCTAAAAACAGGCAGCACAGCTCTAATGTGAGCTCTGGCACAGAGCCCTGCAGTTCCATGAGGATGCACAGTGGAACATGGGCATTGTCCCTCCTCTGAACAGCCTGGGCTGAATGGGTGTCCCAGCCGTGTCCCAGCTGTGTCCCAGCTGTGTCCCAGCCGTGTCCCAGCCGTGTCCCAGCTGTGTCCCAGCCGTGTCCCAGCCATGTCCCAGCTGTGTCCCAGCCGTGTCCCAGCCGTGTCCCAGCCATGTCCCAGCTGTGTCCCAGCCGTGTCCCAGCCGTGTCCCAGCTGTGTCCCAGCCGTGTCCCAGCCATGTCCCAGCCGTGTCCCAGCCGTGTCCCAGCCGTGTCCCAGCCATGTCCCAGCCATGTCCCAGCTGTGTCCCAGCCGTGTCCCAGCCATGTCCCAGCTGTGTCCCAGCCGTGTCCCAGCCGTGTCCCAGCCATGTCCCAGCTGTGTCCCAGCCGTGTCCCAGCCGTGTCCCAGCTGTGTCCCAGCTGTGTCCCAGCTGTGTCCCAGCCGTGTCCCAGCTGTGTCCCAGCCGTGTCCCAGCCATGTCCCAGCTGTGTCCCAGCCGTGTCCCAGCTGTGTCCCAGCTGTGTCCCAGCTGTGTCCCAGCCGTGTCCCAGCCATGTCCCAGCTGTGTCCCAGCCGTGTCCCAGCTGTGTCCCAGCTGTGCAGCTGCACTGGAGATCTGTGAGTCCTGTACTCACAGCATCATTTAACTCTGAATTAAGTAACATTTTACAGTTTCTTCATCACTTTTTTCTTGTGAAAATGTAAACTCTTGTGAATTTACTTTATTCTCAGATTCTCTATTCAACTTTTATCTTTCTTCTATTTTTCCTCTGGAATTTTCTGATTTATTTCTTTTTTACATCTCTTATCCTAACCATGACTGTCTGTATTCTTGTCCTTTTGCTTCCCCTCAAGAATGCTTAATAATGCTTAAATATTGTGGCAATTTGTGATGTCTGTTGAGCACAAATAACACTGAATTCTTTGCAAGACTGGCTGCACTGGAGTCTTGTCCAGCACATATTATCAAGGGGATTACATAAAAAAAGTATTGTACTTTGCTTTCATTTTGGCCCCAGACTTGAGGCGTGTCACCCTTGGAAAGCTGA